GGCCTCGAGATCGACTGTAGCATCGAAAGGTATAGGCATATAGTCAATCCTTTAAAGTCAAGGGGGACTCTAATGACCATCTCCGCCTTATAAACCGTCGTCAGCCAGTCAAAGTTAGGCCCACGTGATGCAATACCGGCTTTTGACCAACTAAGCAACCAGATCGTCGCCTTGCCGGTTTAGGTTGTCATGTATTAACACTCGTTGCTGAACGTTCACTGTACGCCAAGGGAACTGCAAACAGAAGATGTGTTCATTGGAACATATGACACACCAATAAATACTCAACACATTTTTAAAGTCAACCAGCGGTAATTCGATATGTAGTTCGTGCCAAACTGTACAATTCATGTGTTAATTGATACTTGATTGGTAACACATACAGTTAATTTATTTGATTTTTTTAGGTTGAACACGAATTAACCATAAAAAAGAGAACAAACTTAAGAAGAGTCAAAAACAATCATGTTGGAGGTATTTCGCGTTCCTCAAAGTCGCCAACTTAAACAACCGTCCTTCTCAGGCCAACTCCTTGGCCTCAATGGTTTTCTTGATCCAGTCCAGATGAGACTGTATCATTGTGCTCGTGGCATACTTGCCTGCACAAAGGAAACTTCCACGGTTGATGATTCCATAGAGGATCCATTGTCCTTGAGCATCGACACAGTTGACGCCAGCACCGTTTTCTCCCCAACAAGGATTCTAAAGGAGAGAAACTTTGTAAAATTAAGCGGTGCAAGTACTTGAAATGTTTGAAGACAAGGCTATAATGACAATTAAAGTGACGTCTCGTGTTGCCTGTAAATAGTCGACAACGTTTGCTCCCATAGAGCCATTACTAGACACCCAGTTTTTGACATGCATAGGTCAGTCATAAACGGTCCATACAAGCCCACAATCATTTCCCATAAGTGTGCTTTTTGTTAAAATACACAGTGTTTGGTTTAATTGTTTTAAAGCGACGTGATTTGAAGGACACTTAATTGTTCGTTTAAATGAAATTATTTTGCCC